GTTGTTTGGCGGGTCTGGGCTGGGGATTCGAACCTGCCACCTTAGGTGTACGTGGCTGGCGCCTTAGCCGGTTGAGCTATAGGTGCCGAGCCTCAGTCCCCTCTTCTGCCAGCTTCCTCACTAGTTCACAGACTGCATTAGGTGAATCTTTTTCTCTTTTTCTCTTTTCTGGTCTCAGTTTCCTCATTAGGGAAATAGGTCACTCAGGTGAGATGATAGTTGTGACCACTTTCTGTGAACTCTGCACCTGGGGATGGGGTCCAGGCCCTTGTGTTTGTGGTGCCCTTACCATGTGCTTGCCCTGGACTAGCCTCTGCTCTGGCTGAAGGCATAGACCCTGTCCTCTGGGGCTCGATCACCAATCCACTGGGCCCAGGAAGGGGCCAGAGAGCAAAGAACCAGGGCAGGGGTGGCCCCACAAGGGCAGTAAGTGCTTGGTGCTCTGAGCACTCAGAGAAGAGAGGCATTGCTGGGGCCTGGAATGAGAAGTCATTCTGTTCATGGAACAGCCTAAGTGAAGTCACAGGGAAGAAAAGAGAAAGACCAGGTGTGAGGACCGGGAGGTGCTGACTGGCGCAGGGAAGGATCAGGAAATCAGAGAGGTGAAAATGCTTTCTCTCCCTTCCCCCTTCACATACCCTACCCCACACCCCACCCTTTCCCAGGCCCAGCAGGGTTATGGCTAAGCCTGGACAGGCCTGGGCAGGCTTTAGCCTCAAGGAGCCCTGGAGACTAACAGATACAGTTATGTCAGTGGGGTCAGCTAGAGAGGTAGAAGTTGGGCCCAGGAAGCCCAGAAATTCCTACTGCCTGAACCAGCAAAGGCTGGACTTTCCAATACAACATGTGCTTGCCAGACTCCTTAGCTGGCCAGGTCCTGCCTGCCCACAGGTGATGGGCTCTCCTGCTCCAGAGCCTTTTTTTTTCACCATGCCCCTCTGCCAGCAGCACCCTGCTTCTCCTTACCCCTTCCTCCAGGAAGACTTCCCAGACCTGTCATTTTCTCCTAAGTGCATCTGAGGCCACACTGGGCACACTTGTAGACTGAATTTATAAAATGCCCAGCATAGCCACTAAGCTCTGGCTGAATAGATGAATAGCTTTGTCCCCTTGGGTCCTGGACCTGTAGGGTGACCCAGAATAGTCATCCCCTTCATCCTCTCTGGGAAACTGAGGCTCAAAGAGGTAAAGGGAGTTGCCCAAGGTCCACAGCCCATGTGCTTCCCTCCTGTGAATCCAAACACAACCACACCCTCTAGCAGAGGACTGGGTGAGTGGTAAGGAGGGAACCCCCTCAGTCCAGGAAAGGAATTCCCAGTGTAAAGGATGCTGGCGTCCTGAAGGGTGCAGAGAAGGCTCCAAGCTGAGGAAGAAAGGGGGACTGTGGGCACCAAAGCCACGAAGATGGAAAAAGGCTGGCTTGGGGACAAAGCAAAAAGAATTTTTGGCCTTGAAGACATAAGCAGGAAGGGACACCCCTCCCTGGCAGGGCCAGGCCTGGGACTGGCTCCTGTGCCTCCCCTACCTCATCTATCCCTCTCCCCCCAGGTGGGCTGGTGTGTCTGACCACCAGGACCAACCCTTCCAACCTTCGATACAAGGAGGCACTGGAGGCTACCCTGGACGGGCTGGAGCAGGCCAGGGTATGGCAACGCCTGGTGGCCTGGCCCGTGGATCGCTGGGAGCTGGCTACCTCTGAGCTCGAGGTGGGGCCCAACACCTTGACAGAGGGCTTCATCTCCGGCATTGTCTACCTGTACCGAAAGGTGGAGGTGACCCAAGTTGAGGGGGTGAGATCCAATCAGCAGCCTCCTGTTGGCCTCTGACCCTCCATGTAGCTTTAGCCAGGTTTACCTGCTGGGCCTCTGCAACTTCAGCTGTAACACAGGGCCACCATGCCAACCCTGCCCCTCAGGAGTGCTTGGCCTATTAAATGAGCCTCAGAAGGGATAGAAGTCTTCTTGGCTGTCAGTTCTCTCACCCCAGGAAAGAGCAACATCTGTCTAACTGGGTTCAACAAGTGATAGAGGGCCCCAGAGTGCTGAAACCTCTCACCTCTAACTGACAGACAAGAAAACTTAGGCTGGGCAACCCAGAATGTGCACATGGTACTCAGCTGTGGCAAAGCAAGGTCCAAAACCAAGTAGTGGCCAAGCCCCATGCCCTGTCCTGGACAACCCCTAGACTTGAAGCCAGAGGTCCCAAGATATAGGCCTAGTCCCAGGCCTCACAATTTCACGCACTCAGGACTCAATTTCCTCATTGAGAAAGGAGTCAGAATGCCAAGCTCCGGGTGTGGCATGAAGGCTTCTGTCAGCTGAGGAAGGTGAAAGGGCTTTGGTGACTGTCAGCATCTTGGGGACATAAACAGGGCCAATGATTCCTCCATCCAGGAGCGTGGGAAGGCTTCATGGGGGAGGCTGAGAGCTGGACCTTCAGGACAAGCAGGATCCAGAGGGGTGGAGAAAGGGAAAAGGACATTCCAGGCTGCGAGCACGGATAGCCTGAGCAAAGGGCAGGAAGTGGGACCTGTGGGGTGATCCAGCCAAGATGCACAGACCAGTATTGCTGCCCATACAAGGGTGAGGGAGGAGAGGGCAGGTGCCCCATCCTTAGAGCTAGATGCTCCCATGTGTCCTCCCTCCCAGAGTCCCCAGCCCTTTCCCCGGTCCTGGGTATATCCTATCTCCTGTATACAGGATTTACCCTCTAATAAATGAAGGGCTTAGGCAAAGTGATTCCAAAGGTTGGGGCCACTTCTAATTTTTCACAATTTCCTTAAACCAGTTCTTCAAGTGCTCATGTCGTGGCCACAACACGGTGGTCCTGCCCCTTACTAACCCTGCCCAGGCTTCTAGCCCTACTTCACCCACTCCACAGCTGAAATCAGAGACAATATCAGTCTTCCTGTGCACAGGTTCTATTTATTGTAGAAAATAATAATAATTACAGTGATGAATAGATCTTAAATTACAAAACAGAAACCACATAGAAGGCAGGGAAAACCCTGGGATTTCCTGGAGTAGGACTATTCTCCCCTCCCTCCTGCCCTCCCCAAGCTGGCCAGTGTCCTTGGCAGGGCAGAAGATTCCGAGGGGACAGTCTCAAGGGCCCAGGGTCCTCCTACTAGGTGGGTGGGTCCTGAGGCAGCAGAGCAGGAGCTGGAAGGGTTGGGGGTGCCTGGGTTGCTTCTCTGACTCCCTCCGCCACCACCCCCAAACCAGTTTGGACCACCTTCATCCTTCCCCCGCAAAACCTGTCCATCCACTCTGCACTCCATGGAAGGTGGGTGGGTAAGGCCCCAGCCATACTCATGGCCACAAATTGCCACAGGCAATGCACAGCCTAGGCAGCACTCACTGTCCCACCCAGTCGCACAGGAGTGCCTGAGAATAGGACAAACAGCAGCAGAGGAGCTAGAGTCTCCAAAGATGCATGCAGAGGGGGTAGGGAAGGTCAAATTGGGATGGTAGCAAAGACTGGCATGGGCAGAGAGCCTATGGTCAGGGTCAAGCTGTCCTGGCCAGCAGAAGCCAGCTGTCCCATCACCACCTCTCCCCTGTACCCACAGCCATTCAGAGGAGGGTGGCGGCATCCATTCTTGCTCGTGGGAGGAGGCCTTAGGAAGGTGTCCTAGATGGGCCAGAAGGAGCTGAGGACTGCTGACCAACAGCCTGGCTTAGTCTCCTGTTTGCCCAGTCCCCAACAGCCAGACTGTCCTGGGGTCACAGGCTGCGCTGAGTTCAGTCCAGGAAAAAACAAAGCCAGAATTCCAGAGCTGAGCAGAGGCACCTTACACATAGTTGCTGGCTGCTGCGGACCGGGCGGCAGAATACTTGGCTGAGTAGGGCTTGTCGGTACGAGGTGGGCAGTTGCAGCAGAGCAAGGCTCCCCCGAGCAGCAGCAGGCCTGAGGCGGCCCAGCCGATGTACAGTGATGCACCCATCTCCCGCTTCTGTCCAGAGGCCACCAGTGGGTTGTAGAAGTCACGGATGATGTTGTGGGCCGTCCAAGACACAGGAACCATCACCAGCAAGCCAGCCAGCAGGAATACCACACCAGCCACAATCATGGTCTTGGCCTTAGCGCTTTCATCCTCCACGCAGTTGGTGCACTTGCCCCCCACAATGGACAGCAGCACGCCCAATGCGGCCACAATAATGCAGATGACGATGAGGGCGCGAGCTGCCTGCAGGTCTTGTGGCAGTGCCAGCAGCGAGTCGTACACCTTGCACTGCATCTGGCCGGTACTCTGCACCACACAGTTCATCCACAGGCCCTCCCAGATGGTCTGCGACGTGACGATGTTGCTGCCGATGAAAGCCGTCACGCGCCACATGGGCAGCGCACAGCTCAGCATGGCGCCCAGCCAGCCCAGCAC